GTATGCTTTTACCGCCCAGCAGTATGAGAACGCTTGATAGTATTAGATAAGATCGGATTTCGCTGTCCTGGCATCCCTAAAAACGCTTCAATTCAGAACTTATAGTTGAGGAAAAACCGTGTTCGGAATAATTTTTCCATGGGGCGACAGGAGGTTTAGTAAGGCTATCGATTTCATACAGACAAACCTTCCCGGCTTTAAGTCGTGTACAAAGCGGACAGATCTGTGCTATTGTCCGATTCCTAGAGGAATCAGGAATCGAAGATTAGAATAGATACACTACAAAAGGACACTACAATAAAATAATGGTGGTCTGATTAACTAGTGTATGGACTACCGTAGAAGTGCATCCGCTATTGTGACCGCAGAGCTCTAGTTTTGTCTTTATTTGGAAGCAAATTGCCGCTGCAAACGTCGGAATATTAACTTTTATTATAGGTTTTACTTGTTGCAAACAAGTTTGCATCTCCTACATCTATAGATGCAACAAAAATAGGAGTGATAAAACTAACCGTAGATGCGCACTTAGCCTCAGTAAGCCAAGATGGTACAACATTTTGTTTCACAACACTTTCAAAGAACATAAAAACTGCCTTCATTCATTGTACCAGTGCTTGTCGGATTTTCGTCCATGTTTTTGGCAAAAGTAAGTAAACCTTCTTATTTTTAGTGACTCAACGAAGGTGTTATGATTTTCATTCCCGAAGAAAACGCTTCTTATTTCTTATTCTGCTGCTGTTTGTTTTTTCCTTTCTCGTTCCAGATAATAAAATAAACAATACTACACTGTAAAAAATAAAGTGTGTCCGCTATGGTGCATTCCCCCAAGTGTACATTTTGAGTCCAAAGTGATGTGCAAATTGTAACTGTGAAATCTGGCTTTTTATCTTGCGTTTCTCTGTGGAAAAAAACGACAGAATTTTTGTTCTGTTCGGTCTTTTTGCTCATTCTATCTGTAGAAGCTATATGTGCAATTCTCAGTGTGTCACAGGCACACTGAACAAGCCGTTTTCAGTGTGCAACAACATTCCAACGTGATGTGCACATTTAGTGTGCCCATGCACACTTTATTTTTTACAGTGTAGTCCATCGATTTTTCTCCCCGTTTTCTATAAACGAAAAAGAGCAATGATGTCCCTTGTAGATGTACCCAATCTGTTAGCATATTTTTATGGTTCCCTCTTTCCGTATCTTTTCTGGTTAAGTTACATTGCGAAAAACATAAGCAGCACAGATAGTGCCAATTACGATTTCTTCATTTGTAGGATGCGTCAAAAAGATTTTTGAGGGAGTTGCTTATCGGGAAAAAAAATTCCTTTAGAACGAATTTTTGGTTGGCTTTCGTGTCTGTGCAAATAATCTTCTATAGGAGGAAGAGGTTTTTGTAAGCAGAGCAAAAAATTTAGTTTTGTGGTAACGAGAATCTGTATTTACTTTTGCGTCTGGATTTCTCTTCAAGAAGATTGAGATTAGTGAGTAAAAGAGAAGAAAGTCAAGAGTCGCTAGAAAAGTATTTTATAAAGCAGAAAGCTTCAGTCAAAAGTAGAAAAAGATTTAACAAGACGGCAAGGGTTAGGTTTAGTCATTCAACCTTAAACGGGTTTTTTACTAAACTTTTGTAGCGATAGCGTATCATTTTCGCTTTTTGTTGAGTGTGTATGCCTGGTACCTGGTATATGAATAAGAGAATATAACAGTACGGTAGAATACTGTACGAAAAGAAACGCGAGATGCGGCAGAAAAGGAATCTACAGGGAACCTTCTTCTTGAGAAAGGTCCTGTACGGAACCCTTCTTTTGCAAAGGTTCGATATCGAACCGCTTGAATGGTACTGAAACATTTGTGACTAGAACCTTTTAGCCGAAAGAAAAGAATGGTCAACCCTGTTTTGGCCTGAACCATAAAAGGTTCCATCTGGCACCGGTTTTTTAGAGAATAGTGCAGGTTCTGCATTGTTTGATCAAGACCAGAACATTTTATATCATCGTGCCTTCTGAAGTTCTAACAAATTTTTTCAAGAAATCGACCCTGAAACTGAACGTAGCAGTGACGAAGAAATCATAGATTTACTCGTTCTTGTATTGATCCAGAACCATTTTTCCTCGGTTTTCTCTTTGTTCTGAAGTCGTATGCTAAGAACCGGAAGAGTGAAAAAAAGCATTTTCTGTACAAGATCTCTAATTAAACTTAATTGAAAAAAGCGGCATCAGACCGACAAGTAGATTATGACTGCCTTCATTTTCAGGCTACTGAATTTGCAACTAGTCACGAATTCTAGAAACGCTCTTTGCCGAGATTCTCCACTACGTTCCACTGCACATGCACCACATGTGACTACATATCTACTACACATTCATGACCTGTAGTGGACATTCTTACAAAAGACTAAGAAAGATAATAACGTATTTCCAGCCAACTAAATCTATTGACACCACTAACAGTTGTGACTTCAGGAATCCTGTCCCATCTATTTCAAAATATAGAGAACGCAGAGAAGAAAGAACAATGGAAATGAACTAAAACATAGATTACCCACTATGCTGAATCGCGTGACAACATTTGTTTTCCAAACAGTTTCAGAAACCTGGTGGAAACGTACTTTAGGTAAAATATCCTATTTTTGCCTATTTTCATGCAAAACTCAGAAATTCATAACCCAATCAAGATCAATCCAGGTCATGTCAGAATATCGAGATGTACTCTATTTTACCTTCTTCAAACGCCGATAGCTATCGGCCTAATTCTTTCACCATTTTACTCAGCTTTGTGCCTCCATATTTTCATCTACGGTAGTCAAGAGTTTCATTTGGGTTTGAGAGCAAAATCCTAAAAGTGTCCCTAAAAGTTTGGACCTCTGGAAAACCATGTTCCACATGTTTATTTGAAAAACGCGCCTAATGTTCTACAGCTAACTTTTTAAGAAAATGATATTTAGCTTAAAGCATATATCACAGTCAGTTATGACAAAAAGATGCACGAAGTGTCAGTCACCACTATTATACTTTTGTACCAATTATGGATGATATGAATAGCGATGGGATAAGCGGTCATACGATCAAAAACAAAGAAAAATTGTACCGTCATTATCTTGTCACAATCGTTACCACAAAATTTGTCACATTATCGTTACCACAAAAACTAAATTTTTTGCTCTGCTTACAAAAACCTCTTCCTCCTATAGAAGATTATATTCTAAAACGCTCTATTTTTTTTCCGAAAGTTTTTCTTAAAAACCTTTCTCCATTTCCGACAAAATCCTATTTTATTTTCACTAAGCCATGCATTAGAAATTAGGGTAGGAGAGAGTTCGTCAAAGAGATATGTGTGAGAACCAAGGAACACAAGAATAAGTATAATCTCCGCTGACAAAAAAAGAAAATTTTCAATTATTTGACTCATCCCACCAGCGCTGACAGACCGTTGTGGTTTTCGTTTTTTCTTTCTCTTTCTGTGTAGCATTAAAAAGAAAGAAAATGGTCTCTATTGCGTATTTATTTTACTTATTTTGAAATGAAACGTGTACAAAGTGTGACTGTTTCTGTTTTAGAAAGATAACCGCCATCGTGACAGAAGAAAAAATACGTTTTTTGTTTTTATCAAAATAGTTACCGTTCTGAATCAGTGTCGAATATAAAAACTTACAGAGAACAGGGTTTTCAGTCTAAACTGATGAGTTAGTGACAAAAGTTTTTGTTATATATTAGATAAACTACAAACACAAGCTGAAGTTTTCGGACTGTTATCCCTCATTAACTGGAGTTCTTTTATTGTTAACATCAATACGAGACTGAAACAGAGTGGATTGTTTTTCCAATAGAAGAGCAACTATTTGATTGCTGTTTTAAATGGCAACTGTATCAGAAGATAAATGCACAATATGTGCAAAAAATGCTGGTATAGCCACATGCGATGGCTGTTTAGCAAAACTGTGTAGACGGTGTTTCAATGATCATCGTCAAGATTTGTCAACAGAATTCGACAATGTTGTTTACGAACACGATATCCTCAAACAGGATCTTGAAACGCCAAACAATAATGATTCACATCATTTATTAAAACAGATTGATGAATGGAAGAAAGACTCTATCGATAAAATTAATCAGCTCGCTGATCAATGTCGGACTGACGTTGTCAAATTGCTAGATAAAAACAAGAATCAGTTTATTGACAGATTTCGTAAAATATCGAATAGAGTTTGTAAAGGTCGAGACGATGAAGATTATGTTGAACGAGATCTTAGTAAGTGGATGGCTGACTTAAAGGAACTAAAAGCTCAACTTAACAAACCATCGACCGTCCGAATCGAAGAGGATAAACAACAATCTCCTTGGATTCGAAAGATCAGAGTACGCGAAGATATCCACGACCAAGCAAAGCTGGACGGTGGTAAGTCGTGATTATATCCTGTTCAACTTTATCACCAGACACATTTAATAGAGTCTGTGGCGAGGTATATAGCATATTTTTGTGAAGCTGAGTGAGATTTTACCGATTTTATATATATTATATATTTAAAAATATTTTGACGCAGATTGTTTTTTCAAAACATTTTCTTAATCAGAGACGAGAAGTCAGAATTCTTCCCGTAGTTCTCAATTTTTGAGCAATAAAAGTATCATATTCGGAATCAGGATCAAAAATTGGGAACCAGGGAACCAGAAAGTGACTATGAGCGACCTTTACGGTTGATTCTGCTGGTCGAAAACTTCATTTCAACTTGATTGGATGAAAATAGTATTCCCTTGTCTGTATAGAAAAGGGTATTCTCGAATTATAATGTCTCTATGTTTGTATGTATGTCCGCAGCCTAGATACTAGCAAAATACAAATTATTAGCGAGCAGATGGACACACTTATCTACGTCCTAACACACGAGAGTATTGAGCACATTGTGTGCTGTGTCCCGAGGGGAAACTTCTGAGAAATGGAGGGAAAATGAGGGTAAGCGTAGTGAAAGTGGTAAATTTTGTCGGAGCATTTATAGTAATAATGTAGCGAGACAAGCAGTAGTATAAAAAGTAGTTTCGATCACTTAATCGTAGATACGGCTTTTTTCTTCCGAAATCAGACAAGAAATTAGTTTTGGTGTTGCTAATCTAATCTTATTATTGGTCTTCGAAATGAGTGGGAGAGAGATAGGGAATAGTAAATGAAGCCGCAGACAACTGATCAAGACAGAAATGTGTGCTTCAGGACGGAGTAGAATTTCCGGTTAGTAATTACGTGGGCTAGGAGAAGCATCATGTCTGTGAGGTGTATAACGAAAATAGCTCCAGCTCATGACTCGTTTACACTTCTCAGTGGGACTACTTATAACTTTTGATATACAAATGAATTTCTTTCAAAACTTAGCTTCATATATTACTATTGTAGTAGTTCAAAGTTACAATGAGAAATTAAAAAGAAAGTTGCTCTGTCTTTTTTATTTAGACCAATTAAGAGATCTTGTTCCTTCGACTTTTAATCCAATTTGTAGTTTGCTATAAAGCGCGAAATATTATGTGCAGAAATAGTGGAATCATAGGTAATTAACTATGGTGCATCCAGTGGGTATTTGCTAGGTCTTCAAGGGTCACCGAAGGATCTCGAGAAGATCTTCAGAAAACCTTTCAGGATTTATTGAAATATGAAGCCCTAACAAAATATTTGCAGAAATAGCTGGCTATGGCCTGTCCAATGGGCATATTATTAAAACCCTCTGATGATCTCCAAAGAATTTTTGAGTGCAGCACGTCCAATGAAAGCATATGATTTCCAGAATTAGTAAAGTTTTTAATAAGATAATATATAACAAGTGAAGGAATTTCTAATATGAAGTGAAAGCCCAAACATCTCAATTTTGATAAAACTCCGCTTTCGCTCCGTTTTTGAATTCTATTCGCAAAATAAACATTGTCATCCAATCCAGCGTAGTCGATTATGTATGTTTCATCCGATTTCAGGGCTACCTGAAATCACTGGATACCAGTCTCTTCTTTTGAATTGTGAAAATCCGAGCTCTCTACCACATTTCATTATCTAGATACTCAGAAAATAGTCGGGGACATTGTATTTTGTAACGGATAGTAGTAAATTTGATTTAATGAATATGATGAATTTATTTTATTCTATTATTTTCTCTACTAATAGAAAAAAATTTACTCTCCGTAATCGTAATTTTATAGAGCCACAGTCATATATGACCAAAATATTTTACTTTAATAATTTAATAAGCTAAAGATTTTCTATAAGACTTCTAAATTTTTTCAAAAAACTTAAAATAATATTTTAAAAAATTAACTTTTTTAAAATTCTATATTATAATATAAGTAAGCACACTACTATAGTTATTTGTACCAAATTACAGAAAAATTCGTTTTTGTTTTGTGTAAAATTATTATATTATTTAAAAGTGGTCGAGTTTTGTATTAGTCCCATTGAGAAGCGTAAACGAGTCATCGTAAGTGGTCATTAAGAAAAAACTGCTTCGATCCCGGTTAGGGAGTGCGCGTCGAAGCAAACGCGCAGCGCGACAAACATTGTGTAAATTATTGCGTAATGGTTCTTGTTTATCAAGCTCTTAGACGCTTACAGTGGTTTCCCATGGATTTTTCCTAGCCTTCTTCGGTTTTCCATAGTTTTCGTTCAGAATATCAAGTTTTCTTTTGTCTGATTGCACTTTTCTTCGGTTTCCTTGCAGTTTTCCTTAGTTTCCTCGCACTCTATCAGTAGTTTCCCATAGTATTGTAAACTTTGGTGCAGGCAAAGGAAAAACGCACATGGACACATTTTAGTCCCGACATCCGGGACTTCCCCCCTGTGTGTTAGGGTATAGACACAAGTTATTAACGGACCAACAAACATACACGTCAAGACACAATACGAGAGAAATTAGAAATAAAAATTAAAGAATTGGAAATGTGCCTCATTTATCTGTTGCCTTGCAAACACAGCAAGTACTACGCCAGAACTTCGGCTGCTCTTTTGAGAATGTTCTTCAGAAAGTAATGTGACCAAGAAAGATAAAAAATTATTTAAATCACAGACGAAAAAGTCAGAATTCTGCCCGTAGTTCTCAATTTTCTCGATGAAAACTCAACTTTTGAGTAACAAAAATATCATATTCGGAATTAGGATCGAAAACTGAGTAGACTGATGCACAGTTCTTTCTTTCTATAAGAATAAATACATACGAGTGATTCTGATAAAAATAGTACCGCTCGAATGACGTAAATGGTCCTACGCATTTCTCCTCTTAGACTAGATGAAACAATTTCTCATTTCTCGCATATACTCGTCAACATCATCCCTCAAATGAATACACTTACCCTTTTTTCTTTTTACTTTTAGCTGTTGTTCGTACAACAAGAGGAAAAATGCATACATCTATTACTGAAAATAATCGAGATGGAACTGCTAGTAAGCTTATTAAATACCAACCATCTAAAATTGGTTTACACTTTCTTTTTATAAGAATAAATACATACGAGTGATTCAGATAAAAATAGTATCGCTCGAATGACGTAAATGGTCCTACGCATTTCTCCTCTTAGACTAGATGAAACAATTTCGCATTTCTCGCATATACTCGTCAATGTTAGACCTATAATCACTGCAAATATAGCTTTTCTATCCTTAACTATTAACGAGTTAGATGTTTTTTACCGAGGACAACATATTGCAGGTTAGTTGATTGTATGAATAGATGAAAGTTATCTTACCCACCTATAAAATGTACTTGAATATTTTCAGGATCACCATTTAAATTTCACGTTAATCAAGTTCAAACAGGTTATGTAACTGCCTATGGTTCTGGTCTAAGTCACGGTGTTTGCAATGAACCATGCAAGTTTCGTATTGTGACCAAAGACGCCTTCCATGGTTAGTAGTGTGGTATAAAAATAATTTTCACATATAAAAATTTAAATGAGTTTTTTTCTATTTAATAGGAGGTTTGTCTGTTACTGTTGAAGGTCCGTCGAAAGCAGAAATTCAATGTAAAGATAATATAGGAACATGCGATTTTACTTACTTGCCGGTATGTATTTGAATAATACAACAAAAAAAGGTGTTTTTTTAGCATTCACATAGAAACAAGCACGTTTGACATTTTTAAGACTGCTCCGGGTGAATATACCATAACAACAAAATTCGCAGATGAGCACATAGTTGGTTCACCATTCACTGCAAAAATAACGGGTATAAGTTTGATAGTATGAGAATGTTTGTTAAGAAAAATTTATTCGTCTTTTTTTGGTAATAGGCGAACATCGTAAATGATCACAAGTCATGGCTGGTGGTCAGAGTGAATTTAGTTTACGTTTTACAGAAACAGATCTAAATGAACTCCATCAACAATACGTTCATCAAGTGAATCAGCGATGAAAAAGTCGAAATTCTGCCCTTAATTCCCAATTTTCTCGATCAACACTGAACTTTTGAGCAATAAAAATATCATATTCGAAATTAGGATAAAAAAGAAATCAAGGCATATATATTCTTGACCACCTTGACGTCCTCTGTCCAACGGTGTATAATATGTTTGAAAATAAATTTCACTGCAAGTTTACTTTCCGTTTATCTTATAACAATTCAGCTCTGCTCCATGATGGACATAGAAGACCCCCCCATGCCAATAACCTAAAAATTTGACATACCGATATAACTGATGGGTCGTAAAGAATAAGCCTCTCAGTATTTTCTATTTTTCTCCTGTTCCTTTAAGACCCTCAAGTTAATGTTTTTTTAAAAGATGCACCGTCAAATACTCTACAAAATCATACCTAAACTTTAATTTCAGAACTTCAATCAAGAAAACTAAGCGAATTATATGAAAGATGGAAAAAACGAAAACTTTCTAAACTCAAAAACAATTTCTTATCCTAACGTGTTAAAAGTAAGAAAAACTGCATTAGCCATTGTGTAGCCCCAACGCCGCTGTCATAGTGGGCATTTTGGGCTAGAGCTGGCGCAAAATTTTAACCGATTAATTGTAATTAGAAGTTGAATTTTTACAACGGATATAGCCGTTGTAAAATTCAATTTCTAGTTTCATCTAAAAGTTCTGTTTCACAAAATCCGATTAATTGTAGCTAGGAAACATCGAAAAATAGTTTTGTGAAACTCCTTCAGTATCCCCAAAGGAGAAGGAATTGAAATTTTATACTCAAATAACGTTGATTTTAACCTATTTTACTACCTCAGTCCCCAGCTGTATTCATCTTAGGCTAGCGTCGCATTCATCTTACAATGATGGTGTATTCATCTTAAAAGGATTATGTACTCATCATAAAAGTATTCATCGATACTAAAATTAGATTATTATGTCACTTTGATCCCAAAAAACATCACGAAAAAATATTTGTCTTTTATGGAAAAAATGTGAAATAAAGTAAAGAATTCGTGGTTATCATTATCATTTATCGCAAAACAGATAAAAGACATCATCTCTATATATTATAATACTAATACAATGTAACAGTACGTTACTTAAGATGTACGTAATTCGAAGTTTCCACACCATTTTATACTTTTAATTCAAACATATATAGCTGGATAGGCCGGAAGCCAACGATCACGAATATGTCCTTTTCAACCTCTCTAGTCCACTTCTTCATGGAGAAAATTTCAAAACATTGTGAGGTGCTTTTTTTTTCAAAAATCACAACTTTTCAAAAAAAATACAATATCTCAGTCCCCGAGAACTTTGGGAGCTCCACAAAAGAATATTCGGAATCATTGTGAAAAACTGAATACAGAACACTACCTTTTACGATTTCAACCCTACACTGCGATTTCGGACGAAATTCTATATGAAATGGTCTCTAACTGCGAGGGGGTCATCTTGCACATCTATCTCGTCCTGGAGGTTAAAAGATAGAGCCTTCGTTCTTATGCCAATGGAAGCCTCTTGACATGAATGAGGTGACTAACTGCTGAAGAACCTCTCAAAAAATCCGCTCGATTTTTATGGTAGAAACTATATGTACTCAAAAAGCGGTAAAAATCTTTAAGGGTTTAAAGATGATACGCTCGAACATTTTAGATACAGAATTTAAAAGAGTTATTTGGATAATAAGAGGTTAGCTGAGAATCATCGGATTTATATAAGAGGACAAATATGTCGCAACTTCCACGAGGTAGGAAATTGCGCAGTGTCTAATGATTTATTGAATAGATATGTTAATATTGGCGCAATAGAGATAGCTGCTTCTCTAACCAACCTTCTCTAACCTATCGTAGAAGCAGCTATTATGAAAATGGTGTGACAAAAAATAGAATGTTACCAAAAATGTCACAGCATTACTTTAGTAAATTGGGTTTTATAAACAAGGTAAAGGATTCTGAAAAAAATTCTTTTAGCAAAAGAAAGCTCATTCGCTCCTCTATAAACTCTTCTTGAGACACTTTTTATTAGCTCTTCTAAATTCGCAAGAATTTGCACTTTAATGAGGAGTAGTTAGAATTTAGGGTCTTTTTATGGCACAGCGTTACCGGTTTAAAAAAGTTTTGTAGAAGCTTGAGTTTTTAACCCAAAATCTTTGTTTTTATACTCAAAGTAGAGTAAGAAGAGTCGCGTCTAATGGCGAGAAAACGAACTTTCTAGTTCTTATAGTTTTCGAGAAAAATACAAATTATTGTGTCAAAAATGTCACAGCGCTACCTTTGGACAAGCCGTAATGTGCTTTTAAAGCTGGTTTGAGAGAAAAAATATCGCTCAAGTCACCGTAGCTGAGGGCGACAGTTACGAAGATCGTTGCCGAATAACAGTCTTCGAAAAGTTGTGTTACAGGCTTGGGCTTTTTTTGATTGTATCTATTCTGCAACTTCAAATGATTAATTCTTGTAATACTATCAAATCAAAACCATAATTTTTAGAATCCAATACATTCATTAGAATTTCCTTATAACGGCTTCGTGCTCGAAAGTTTAACAGCATTTTTTTAACTAATTAATTTTTTTTCTCAGCCAAACAATGTCAGTAAGCCGAAAAAAGTTTAGAACATAACTTCGAACTGTTCTCTACAAACCGGAAAGATTTAACAAAAAAATTCAAAACTAAAACATTTCTCTAATTTTTAGCTAAGTGAAAATATTAGTCTAATTATACTAAAATGAAATATTAATTAATTTTAGTAAATTTTAAAATTTTAACGACCGTATTTTTCAATATAAAATCTAGTTTAATGAATTTTGAAAAATCCTTCCTTCAGAATCCAGAGAATGTGATTCTGAACAACTTTCATACCCACATTTTTCCTTCAAAATGCTTTCTTCGAACGAAATTTGGTTCAAGGTGTTTTTAAAAATACTTCTTGCTCCAAAATGCCATCGGACAGGTCAAAGCGGGATAACTCAGTCCAAGCTTCACCGAATTTTTTGTAAAACAATCCTGATGGTCTCTCACGATTGACATCAAAACCGAGGTTATACGTAGAAATTTTAAAAAAAAAATTTTAAATTTTTTTTTAAAATTTTTACTAGTTTATTTATTATTTAATTTTCAATATGAATGCTGGATAACATGTGTAATGTTTTCTAAGAAAACTGAAGAATGCCATCGTAACACTCATATCCATCACTGGCAATGAATTTGTCTGGTAGAATTCGAAAATGATTTTTTTCATAAAATCGAATTCCTCGCTGATTATTAATCAGTACTCCACCCCATAGTATCATCCGCTTTTTACCCATACGTATAGCTAAATCAATCATTAACTGTAAAAGTTTGGTGCCCAAATGCTGATTTTGATATTTGTCGATGATGCACGGTCCAAATCGTACATCACTTTTGGCATCTAGTTTGATACTGTATTTGTGAAATCGTTCGATGTCAGAATCCACCAGATCGAGGCTAAATTCGAACAGAGCAATAATTTTTCCGTCCTCACTAATAGCTACCATTCGTAATTTATCGTATTGATTGATAGCATAACAAAATTCCTGCGCACATTTCAAATCATAACTGGGATACGTAGCAAATAGACGTGTCTCTGCTGATAAACTTTCAAAGAATTCAGCTAGCATTAAATCATCATTGTGCAGTAGCGGTCGAAATATAATTTCTTCAGAGCCAGTTGCTTTTAGTAGAATAAAACGATGCGTAACCAGAGCTGGATTTCGTGCAATCTTATCCAGTGTCAATAAATCTGTCGTTTCCATGCGCTACGTCTAAAATTTGTATTCACTATAATTTCTGCTACTTTAGAATGTTATGAGAATATATTGTCACATAGGTTATTACTATTCTTCCATCATCACTTTCGAAATGACGAAAGAATAGTGCTCTTTTCTCTTTTTGACATTCAACGTGTTCTGTTTTTCTCTCTGTTCTTCATCAATGTATGAGTGAATATGCAGCAAACACAGTAATTTACCACACTATTGCACAACTTCAATTGTTGTGCATGACGGATGACAGAACGTCAAAGTTTACTTTTGCAGTATTTTACTGCAGAAGTGAAATTTGTTCGGTTCTGTTGTACAAGGATTGTCTTTGTGTGATAAATCTTTGCTGCATATTCACTCATACATTGATGAAAGAATAATGCTCTTTTCTCTTTTTGACATTCCACGTGTCCTCTTACCCGCGACGCTTAAAGTCTTAAACTTGTTTTTACAAATCCGTGTGAGAAAATTTAAGCTTAACTTATTTAATTCTAAACTTAACAGTAGCTGTGTAAAAGCAGTGTTTTATATTCACTCACTACCTCGGAAACGAAAGGAAAGAACTGTAAGCCTACTTTTAGATTACCCCCAATATCTTTGTATATATCTGTGAAGAACAGAGAGAAAAACAGAACACGTTGAATGTCAAAAAGAGAAAAGAGCACTATTCTTTCGTCATTTCGAAAGTGATGATGAAAGAATAGTAATAATCTATGTGACAATATATTCTCATAACATTCTAAAGTAGCAGA